ACAGGCCTGCGGGTTAACCAAGTCGCAAGACCATCTCGCAGCATCCAGAGCAGCTTAGATCACTTCGCATTCCGGAGAGTGTAACTCCTGTGATACTTGTCCGAATTGAATGATTTCGGTTGCAGAAGACAGAGGACTCATTTATCTCCAACTTTTGTGAAGGAAGTTTCAGTGCTTGGGAGGTGGAAGGCTTCCTGGAGGGCACATCTTTGCAGTGCATGTATACGACCAGAGAGAGGCGTCTAGACATGTGTCCATTCCGGAGGCCGTATCTTCCTGCTCATAGATCCGAATTGAATGCTCTTGGACGTTCTGGAAAGAAAACTCAAATGTCTCTGATTCTCATGAAGGACCCGGAAGCTGAATCGGCCTGGAAGTGCACCGTCCTTCGCATCCTTCAGAACTGATCTGCTCGGTCCGGAATACCTGCGAGACAGGGGTTTCTTCCGACGAGCTTATCTCTCTGCTCACGCGTCCGAATTCTACGATTCCAATTGCTATGAGACCGTGCTTCAATGCTCTCCAACTTCTATGAAGGACCCGCCATCTGAATCGGACCGGAAGGCTCCCCGGACAGGTGATTTCTGAGACTCGTTCGCACCCGGAGATTTTGGCCGATATACTTAATTCGCGGTACGTGAAAATGGCCGGTAAAGCTTCCCGCAGTACATGAAAATGGCCGGTAAAACCTTCCTGGCCAGCGAGAATGGCCGATAACCTCCATAGACTCAAGTTTTCCACTTTTTCAAGCTCTGCTCACCATTCCACCTCCTGGATTCATCTTTTCAGCTCCATAATCACCTGATAGACACTCAAAACATGCAAAGACTCATTGGGACCTAATGCATCTCCTAAGTTCTAAAACAAACCCTAGGGACCTAAAATACATGAAATAAAACATGATTTGGAATGATTTGTGCAACCTAAATGATGCAAATTATAAACATATCAGAAGGTATTCTGAAAAGGAGCTTTTGGAGCATAGCATTGTTGTTGTTGCTGAGCAGGGTACACTTGGTCTTGAGGGTTAGCTACATTCGGGTTTCTGTATGAGAGGTTTGGGTTACTGTTGTAGTTGTTAAACCGCTGATACCTCTGCTGATTCCCTATGTAGTTCAGCTCCTCTTGAGTTAGACCATCTTCATTAACATTGTCAAAACTTGGCTCTTGCTCATCAAACTCGCCTACAAAGTGTATTGGCTTTTGTGTCGCCATCAGAACCTTGTCAAGCTTGCTCTGAAGCTCTCTTATATCCTTTTTCATACGCTGTTCTTCATTGGAGCCCTCTGTACGGTTTACTCTATCAAAGTCGTCGCCATAAGTATCATTAGACATGGCTAGGTTTTCGACTAGTTCCATTGCCGCATTGATCTCCTTCCCAAGAAAATTTCCATTTGAAGCTGTATCGAGTTGGTTTCTGATCTTGGGGAGTGCACCTCGGTATAAAGTACTCAAGAGGGATGCCTCTGAGAAGCCGTGGTGGGGGCATTGGTTAGTGTAGCTTCTAAACCGTTCCCAAGCTTCGCTAAAGCTCTCATTGTTGTTGCTGCGTGAAGCTTGAGATCTGGTTTCTGAGCTTAGCCGTGCGTGATGTGGAAAAGAACTTTGATAGGAACGCCAGTTTACACTGCTCCCAGGTTTGTATAGAACCCCTCGGGAGGTTCTTTTCCCACTGGTGAGCTTTATCACCGAGGCTGAATGGGAACAAGCGTAGCTTGAAGCTATCTTCCGAGACACCATTGATCTTAGTTAGGTCGCAAACCCGATCAAACTGATCTAGATGCTCAAGAGGGTCTTCTCCGGCTAGACCGTGGAACTTTGAGTTCTGCACCATATTGAGCAGGGAAGCTTTAACCTCAAAGTTGTTGTTTTGAACCGGTGGAGCTTGAATCCCAGCTCGGTATTGGTGCGCATTAGCTCGGTCGTTCTCTCCAACAAAGACCGGAGGAGGTTGTCTCTGAGCTTGTGGCGGTGGCGGATGAACATGGTGGGCTTGTTGCGCGTTCCTATTAGCCTGTTGTTGGTTTTGCTGAGCAAGCCTCTCGTTTCTTTGAGCCTGTTGTTGGTTAACATAGGCTTGTTGTTCATTCCTGCCTGCCTGCGCCTGATTAGCATGAGCCTGGTGTTCGGCTTCTTGAGCCTGTTGCTCGATCCTTTGCTGTTCTGCCATTCCAAGTCGTTCAAAATGCCGTTCCCTCTCGCGAGCTCGCCTCTCAATCCGGTTGATGTTGTCGTCGTACGGTAAAGGCGGTTCGGTGCTCCGAGACCTGGTTTTCATGCACCTGAAAGCAAAACAAGAACTTGCAAAGAAGTTAGTAAAACAAAGAAAGTTAAAATCTTGAGCTCAAGAACAAACAAGAGACTAATGCTCCGACAAGTTGGCAACGGCGCCAATTGATAGATAAGACTTTTTAGGTCTTAGGGCTATCAATCCCCTTGTCAAAGTAGTACTAAGAGGTGTCAATCCAGACTTGTCAACGAGACACTAGTCTATGTTGTTTGTTTATTCAAGTCAAGATAAAAAGGGTGAAGGTTTTACTAAGCTGAATAACAACGATTAAGTATGTAAGTAAAGTAAATGATGAGAATCAAACAAAGCAAAGATGTAAATGATAACTAAGCGATTCAGATGATGATAATATGTAATAAAGCAAGAGACTTTAGACGAGATACTTGACTCGGGTGCTTCCAAGTTCAACTAGTGGGTTAATGAATCAAAACATCGAGCGGTTTCATTTAACTTTGAACTCAAGGCATGTTAATCTTCTCATGAAAGTATTAAGCATCTAAATTGATCCTCCTTCATACCAAAAATGTCTTTTGAGAAGCATCGAATCAATCAGCAATAAGAATCAGTTCAAAAATGTCATTTAAGAGAACAAACTATCACTCTCGCGATGAAAGACTCTTAAACCCATAACCGAGTGGTTCAGACATTTCTACAAACACTTTTGATGCGAGATATGTCTCAGATCTGGACCTCAAGTGATGTGCTTGGATCCAGCCTAGAGATCTCGTCGGTTAAAGAATGAAACATGCAAGACTAGACACCTAAACCCACTAATCTACCTAGAAAGCACCCTAATCTACTCGTCTAAAGCCGCTTAAACGACTACTCACTAATCATAACGAGCTCACTAAGTCCTTTGCAAGACGTGTAGCTGCTCATGATGAGGAGTTTAATGTTAGATGATCAAAGAAATAAAGAAAGAACAAGATTTCTCATGCAAAAGCGAGATATCGGATTAGAATGATCAAGTTTCACCAAAGAGGCAAGTTCTTAAAGCTAAAAACAGATAAGAGATAAGATGATTAGGTTTTTAGTCTCAAAATGTATATATAGCAAAGGTAAAGTTTCGCGGGTCAGCCCGGAACAAACCGGGTACTGAACCGCGTTCTTGGGTTGATGGGTGAGTGCCACGGTGTGTCGGAGAGTGAAGCCGAGGTCTTCATGTCGAGGAGTGCACGTGAGTCCAGATCCAAATGAAGATCTCGTGAAAAACACGTCAAGAACATGCATGAACCCTAGTCTTCGATCCATCTTCACGTGTGTGTTCTTGGGCAGCTTTGTTCTTGATTCTGGGTTCGTGACAATGGATCTCGGCATGAAATGCCGAGGCGCTTGGTAGTCGAGGGGTTTGAGCGAATAGGGGCCGGCATGCACGCCGAGGTCATTGCGCCAAGGTGCACGTTCAACACTTAGTCGTTTCCAGCTTCATTTCTTACGTGTGCATGCCTTGATTCCAACGTGCCGAGGCATCAGCACGAGGCCTAGTTCAGAATACTCCCAAAATATGAGCCTTGACTTGGCCGATGTCGAGGTAACGATGCCGAGCCCTGAGAAAACACTTAGCGCGTATCGCAACATATTTGGGTTCGTATCGACCATGTCACCTTCCGGAAACAGTAACTTTCATCCCACGACTCCAAATGCTCTGAGACCAGTTCCATAGTCAAGATGACTCAATAAGCTCGAACTTTGGTGAAGAAACCGTCGGAGCTTGGGAAGCGGAGGGTTTCCTGGATTTCACATCTTTGAACCGCATTGGAATCACCAGAAAATAAGCTTTTTAGACCGATGTGAACTCCGGAGACTTTATCTCTCAAACCACTGCTCCGAATTGAGCGATCCCAACTGTTCTGAAAAGGTCTTTCACAGATCTCAAACTTTGATGAAGACCGGGCAAGCTGATTTGGTCCGGAAAGGCTCCGTCCGCCGTAGCCTTTGTACTCCGCCGTTCGGTTCTCGGGTGCGCTTAATGTTGGTGCATCTTCCGGAGGCTGTATCTTTCTCCCCATTGGTCCGAATTGGATGATTCCAACTGTTCTGGGATCTTTGCCTGATTATCTCCGACTTTGCTGAAGACCCCGCCAACTGGTTCGGACCGGAAGGTTCCCCGGATTGCTGATCTTTGAAACGCGCGGACAAGGACAAATTTTGGTCGAGAAAAGCTTCCCGCGGTAAGGAAAATGGCCGAGGGCTGTGTACCGCGGTAAGCTTTTTGGTCGTAAAAATTCCTTCGCCTCGGCCAAAAACTCAACCCATGGTATTTGCACCCGATCTTCGACCCAAGCTGACTTTGGTCGATCGGTAAGGAATTTGGCCGGTGTTGAGCGATCGGTAAGGATTTTAGCCGAGGTTTCCGTCCGTCCGGTACGCGATTTGGCCGAGAAATTTCTCCAAGCGGTTTTCACCGTTTTTGACCCTTTTCTTCACCGTTTTCTCCTCTGCTCCTCTTCTTAAGCTCCAAACGACTCCCAAGGCACCTGATAAAGACTTCAAAACATGCAAAACTCTTTGGGACCTAATGCAAACCCTAAATCCTATTTTCATGCCTAAAGACACAATTTACATGGGAAAACACATGATGAGGACTCTAAAATGCTCTCTAAATGATGTAAAATATAGACATATCACAATCGCTTCGAGCCACCCCCTCGGTGAAAAACCGTAATACGCCCTGAGGAATTCCTACCAGCAGACTTTCCTGTACTCAAAGTGAATTGTCTAAGTGCTCGTGCTCTCCCTGGTCTCATTGTCTATCTCGTATTTTATTTATTCCGTCTGACTCCTCCTACTCCTCCTTTCCGAAAAGATCATCCTTGGTCCTTTTGACATAAGATTCTCGGCCGCTCAAGAGACTCTCTCTTTATATATATTTATACGCAATATCTTGACTCCTACTACGAGTGACTACGCCGATCTTTATATGTTTTGGCCACGTCCGTTTCTGCTCCGAAGAGGAAGGTTTGGATCTTTTAATCTTATGTCGTGAGGGATATGACCTATGTTAGGTCCATAAGATACCACAGCTTTTGGTGTTCTATGATTAACCTCCGAATAATGAGTAGGTAGTTCGATCCTTTTGATTCTTCTCTTCATAGTCAACTTATGGGGGGATGCGAAGCAATAGGTCGAATTACTATATAAAGATAAAGAAGAGTTGTAAACTATAGGACTGATTGTTCGAGTAGGAAGATTTCGGTTATTCTCCTTCCTTCTCTTCGATAAGAATAGGGATTTTAACAAATTCCTCTTCATTCTCTTGTGCTCAGCGAAGGAACTTCCTAAGCATACTTTTTCGGATCCAAACTTCTTTGTTCTTTCTAAGTCTTCTTCTTGCATAGAAGAACGCAACTGTTGCAAAAACCGGGATTTTAGTAGTAGGCGGCATCCCCTCTTTGTTTTGAGTAGGTGGAACCATTCAGTTTTGCTTCTTCTCCACATTCTTAGCGGTTGATGCAGTAATTTGCCTATGATTTTTTCAACTGAAATTTCTTTATAGAAAGATCTCCTTATTTCTTCACCGCGTATTATCGCGTTATTTTCTTGAAAAGATATTATATCACCGTGGGAAAGTTTCAAATGAGTAATGCTTACCATTCCTTTATTCACACAAACCCTTCGATGACTTATCGGCTGCCTTGCTTGAGGAATAGTTTCAAGAAAATGGAGACGAAGCGGAATAACATCAAATCTTGTTTCTGGATTGAGTGGAAAAGGGATATATGAAGTTCGTTTTGTTCCTCTGTGCATCTCTGTGATGGGTAAATCCCCATGAAAAAGGGGCAACTTTCGTGTAGTTTTTAATTGTATGTAACTGGTAAGATATTTTTTCGGATAAATCTTTCTCTTCTTAATAGATCTCTTCCTGTTCCTCAATCTTCGGAGAATGCGGCGTTGTATTATTGTCAGTTCTCTGTTCCGAACATTTCCTGAAAGTAGACGACAAGTTTGAAATCTTAATGGGGACATATCTAGATCTCGTTGAATCAGTTTTTTAAGCAGCCACATTGCGTCCCTGGGACTCGAACCCAATTCTGCAACAACCCCTGTTCCTGTCCGTTATGGACCCTTCGTACCTTTCAAATCCAATCAATGTGTGGTGTGTATCCAAGGGCAAATGCAATCTCTGAATCTGTTACAGCCATTGTAGCACTAGGTGCCTACCCATAAGCAGTAGTTGCCCTTGAATGTGCATCAAATCCTAAGACAAGCCTATCTAATCTCACTTCTTAGTCTAAAGCACTCAAATCCCTTCTAAGGAGCCAGCCCTTTTTGAATCCCTCTCTTTTCTTCATGCTGGGAAGCAATTTTTCCCTATCCCCCTGACTGGCGAGGCTTCTTCTAAACGAGTGGAGTTCAGTTAGACTGCCCCTTCTTTCTCGTGCTCTCCGTCCAAGCGAGCTAACTCCTGATCTCCTGTTGTAAAGATCTCCAGACCAAGGCTACTCTTACCAGTTGACATCCATCCCGTTGCATTCCCAGCGGCTTGAGTTCTATTGGATGGGGTTCTATACGAGCGTTCCATACCGTCTCTTGGGATCAAACTGAATGAAGTTGGACTCCCTTCAAGAGATAGATTTCTTTCCACGATAATATCTATATTTTCTTAAGAAAGAAGACTCGAATATCATTGGGAGTGCACTTAAGCCAATTGGAGTACTAGGCCTTCTGTTCCAGTGACAGTTATAGAAAAAAGCGAAGCCCTCCACTCATAAGTAATAAGTAATTGAATTCCTTACCAGTCCGTCCTACCAGCTCTTCTGTCTTCCTTTTTAAAAGGAGCTAACGATACGGATGTTCAAGCTTTGCCAGAAGCCTTTTGCAGAGAGAAAGTTCGAAGATCAGGCAGGATTGGATTGAAAATCAATCTCCTCAGCATTCAATTCAAGTGGGTCTATCAATACAAGTGGTAAGACCGATAATTCAGCATCCAAGACCTGGCCGATGTCTACTTCAAATTCAAGTGCCACTTATCTTAACACAACTCGGGCTAATCGACTCCCAGCCTATCCCGACCTGGTCCTTTCGAACCAGTCTTTATAAACCTGGTGAAAGCAATCAAGCAGGACTTACCTCCTGGGAGCCTCCTTCCTTCTATTCCGAAACCTAGAAGGAGAACTCCCAGCTCTTGAGCTGATTGAATGATTTTTGTTCACTGCTAATCCTTCTGTCCTACTTTACTCTATTATGAGACCTCACCCTAGGCTAGGGAGCTGGTTTCAGCCATGCCCTTATTTGACTCCCAAGACCGGATACATAGCTCTTCTGAGCGGGTCAAATTCAAATACAATGAGTGCTTAGGGAAAGTAAGAAAGAAAGACATAAAGCGGAATCCGGTAATCCTACTGCTACTAAGACTACTCCGTCTTAGGGCTAGGAGTTCAAGCGCGGCGTAACGGGGGTTGTCAGCGTAACAGCTGGTGCTCTAATCTGAGCTGAGAAATAGGAACTGCACTTCTACTTTATTTATTTACTATATTCCCCCCTCTCTAACCCAAGTCCTAGAAGTGAATGAGGAATGAAAGAACTTCTGCTTCCGCAATGAGACGCTAAAGTCCTTAAATCAAGGAAATCACAATGCTTCTCTTATTCAGTAGTTCAATCTTACTTTCTTACCCCGCCGGGGAAGCGTTGAATGAATGTGTAATGATGTCCATCAGGGGAGATCTTGACCAATGGCCGCGCGATGTCCGAGTTCCTGTTGTGTTAAGCATGAGACTGTCCGAGGTGGTTTGTCTCAACCAGGCTGGATCAATACCGAGCTGTTGTTATGCCAGTGTGTTCTATGCGGTTAACAGGTAGGAGGAACCAAGCTTCTCCTCTCTCAACGGAGGAACCTAGCTTCTCCTGTTGGTCAAGCGCCTTGCCCCTGGTCTGAGAAGGTAGCTCTCCTAGTAGCAGTTGTCATTGCTACTCTACTATGGACCAACCTATCACCTATCCTTGTACATAACTGCATTTGTAATAGAATAGGTTCTTCTTTCTCTGTGCTATATCCCAAAGGCTTTCATTCGTAGCATCAATCAAGTCAGTTTATGAAGGGAAATCCGTTGAACAAATCACTCCGTGCCTCCCCTCAAGCTCTAGTTCCGATGCAAAGGGAAAGAAGGGATGCTGTTCATGCGGGGAAGAAGGAAATTTTCAGAAGAATTGTCCCAGTAGAAAGGCTTATCATGATAAGAAAAAAGACCAGAACACAGTAAGAGGAGAGTCTGCTATGGTAAAAAGAACAGAGGTCAAGTGAATGTCCTATATGCAGCTGAAGCCTTGAATATTACTGATCTGGATCTTGAACAAGAGTGGATCATGGACACAGATTGTTCTTACCACATGACACCCAAGAAAGAGTGGTTTGATGAATTGAATGAAGAGATCACAGGGATAATCAAGATGGGAAATGACACAACATCATCAGTGAAAGGAATAGGAAGTATAAAGATCCTAAATGAGGATGGAACAGTGGTGATTCTGACACAAGTGAGGTATGTACCAGATTTCAAGAGAAACCTTATCTCACTAGGAACACAGGATTCACAGGGTTGTGCATATAGAGGTGAAAATGGAATCTTGAAAGTGCTAAAGAGTTGCAGAGTTGTTCTAAGAGGAAAACAGTACGACAGTCTATACTTCCTACAAGGCAAAGTTGTTGAGACAGAAGCTCTCATAACTGAGGACAAGAAGGATGAAACTTCACTGTGGCACAGCAGGTTAGGCCAAGTCAAAAAGGGCTAGAACTGCTGGTGAAAAAAGGGTACATTGATGGTAAGAAGGTGTCATCTCTTTATTTCTGTGAAGACAGCATATATGGGAAGGCACACCGTGTGAGCTTTGGAGTTTCAAAGCACACTACAAAACTACCATTCCTCCAAGAGAAGAAATGGCACCAACATTGGTCACTGAAGCACCTTTCGTCAATGAAGGAGCAATCCTCCCCGGCAACAGAGTAGGATAAATGCCATGAAGCTTCCCCGGTCCCTAGGGAGGGCTTTCCCAGACCAATGCAATACCTATATTCTCACTTTACTTCTCTCTGGCAGCTATTGAAATGGAAGTTGGTGAAATGTACGATTGATTTCAGCTCTCTAGGACAGTCAAAGATCCTTTCTTTAGTCCTGCTTTACTATATGATGCTCTACTTTCCCGGTTTTCTGGGAATCCCGGGGAATAAGGTATACTATGCTTTTTCGTTCTCATTGTGGTTCTAGCTTTGGCTGTTTACCTTCACTAATGATTTGATTCCAGTTAGTATTAGTAAGAGGGATCTTGAACTAAGAAATAGATTCTAGAAGCTAAAAAGGGTATCCTGAGCAATCGCAATAATCGGGTTCATTGATATTCCTGGTATCGTAAGTCAATGAACTATCTAAGCGTATTAAGAAGAAAGAGCCTTTTGCTCACCTCGGTTTTCTACCTTCTTCTTTTCCCACTCTGAAGCAGACGAAGCAAGCTGGAACGTACAAGGAAAGAGAAGCGAGATGGTACCCTCCTATTGAATCTACTTATGGATAAAAGTCAGATGCGGTTGATGGCTGGTCGAGCATCAAGAGGTCCATTAGCGGATGGAAAGAAGTGAGATTCTGCTTAGCGACACGTTGAGCAATATGGAGTCAGATCGGCCCCTACTAATGAGAAGGCATTGAAGGAAGTTAGTCATAAAATCTCTTTTTTGGATGGAGCTCTGCCCGGTTTAGCCTTTTTCTTCCCCGGGGTGAAGTAGTGTACTCTTATCCGCGGATTGATGGCCTTGGCGTGGAGGAGCGGCTAAGGAGCCTGTGGCGAGCGAAAGGGAATGTGGCACTCGTGGACCTGAGCCATGGTTACTTCGTTATCAGATTTAACCAGGAGGAAGATATGATGGATGAAGGCCTGTACCGGGGGGTACCAGGGAAAATAA